GCTCAGGTTGCCCAATGACATCACGCCTGTGGGCTGTCTTGGCCACAGTGGGCAAGTAGGTCTAGTTCACACATGGGTGAGTGGACAGGGCCATCTCTCCTTCCTTCTGCCATGAGCTGTGTCTAGTCAGGTAGGCTACATTCGCCTCCCAGGCAGTGCAGTTTGCTTCCCCATGGACCCCATAGTAGCCTCAGTGGTCACAGAGGTCTCCAGATAGTCTGGATTCCCCCCCTTCTGTTGCTGTGATTAAACAATCTAGCCCCCAAACAATCTTACCATTTGGCTTACACTTCAAGGTGACATTCCATCTTTGAGGAGAAGTCAAACTAGGAGCTCAAGCAGGAACTTGAAGAAGTAAAACCATGGGAGGAGGCTGCTTGCTGTTTCATTTCATTCTCTGACTTTCTCAGTGGCTCTTGGTTAGCTAGATGCTCTCTCTGTCTCTGTCTCTGTCTCTCTCTCTCTCTGTTATGCTCTCTCTCTCTCTCTCTCTCTCTCTCACACACACACACACACACACACACACACACACACACACACACACAACTGGACCATGTATCCAAGGAATGGTACTGCCCAGACTGGGCCTTCCTGCATCAGTCGTAAGACAAATCTCCACAGACGTACCCGCGCCCACAGGCCAGCCTGGTCTAAGCAATTCCTCCACTGAGGGCTTCTCCCAGATGACTCTAGGCTGTGTCAGGTGGACAGCTAAGGCTGGCCAGGATGCCCCAGGACTGCCGCCTCTGCAGCCCCAAGTGCGGGGTTGAAGGGGCTCTTCTTCCCCACATGCTCTTGATGGCCAGCGCTCCAGGGAGCCCTGACAAGTGACTCCCATTCTAGCTCATCACAGAGGTAGAGCATCTTCCCAGAAGGGGGTCTGTGCCAGGGGCCTGTCTGGCAGGCCATTCTCTGCTCTGCCTAGGAGTTTCCCCAGCCATCCTGCTGCTGGCCGCCCTGGAGTAGCCGCGATCCAGGTGTGGCTCATGGTTCCATGCAGGTCACTAGCTTTGGCATGGGGACAGCCTAGCCTCCCACAGACAGACAGGGCTGTGCCTTCTGTGTTCATTGCCTGAGGTGTGTGTGTGTAGTCGGCCCTCTGGCATGCTGGCTTCTAGAATGTTTTTCTCAGCCAGCCAGGCATTCAAGCCAGGCCTTCGTGGTGTCCTGGGCAGAGCTGAGGTGTCCCTGGAGCTGAGACTCCAACCTGCTTCACATCTAGAGCTGCAGGCCAGTAGAGCAGCTGATAGGGTCTGAGGCGTGCACAGCACAGAATTGCCTATCCCAGAGGCCACTGCCACATCACACTTCTCAGCTCTTTTCTGGGAAGTGTTCAGGCAGTGGGCTTGTCCTGTACCTCAGATGGGTAACGGGATGGTCAGTGGCATTAGTCTGTAGACCTATTCAGGCTGTGATCCCTGGGGCCGGGACTGACGGTACAGGGTAGAACATGTTCTGTCCTTTAAGACTTGGGACCAGTGTGGTTTGAGGGCCCAGCTGAAGGAGCCGCACACTTACACAGGAGCCCTTCTGGTCTCTCTGCTGTACCAGGCTCCCCCGTGCCTTTAGGCTGGTAAGCACAGCACTCATAGACAAGGAACTTTGCCAAGAGGAAAGGGCCCTCAGCCTAGTTCCCGGCTGGACTTGGCCTCAGGCAGTGGCCCTGGCCAGGGCCCAAGCTGAACTGGGCTCCCAGGCAGCCACTGTACCAGCCCTGTCTGAGGTTGGCACCTGGTCAGCAGGTGGCTGCCAGGTCTGCCCAGGGCTTTGCTTGCCTGGCTTAGTGCCATCACCCCAGTCCTCAATGGTGTAGGTGACAATAGGGACACAGATCCCTGGTCCTGGGTTTTTTGGGGGATCCCTAGAAGCCAGGAATGCTGAGGAAAGCCTCGAGGAGCAGCCAACAGCCGCTGTCCACCATGAGGCCGTCCAGCTGGCAGTGCCTATAGGATCTTTTGCGGGTTTCCCACCGGGGCCGGTATGGCGAGAGAACCCCAGTCTTTCAGAGTCAGTCACTACCATGTGTGGCTCATGTTGGGCCCGCCTGGGCCATCTCGAACTGTATGAGAGAGTGATGTCCCCTGGGCCACTGTTCTAGGAAGTCTGCTACCCCATAGGAGAACTCTATGCCAAGGTCACCAGTGCCCAGAGGGGCATTCCTTAACTCTCACGGCAGTAACCTCAGGGCTGGGGCTCTCTTCTGCCTTTACTGCTCGGTCAGGAGATGTGGCGTGGCGAGGATGCTTCTCACTTCTCAACATGACAGGAAGGGCGGGTCCACGGGGGAGGGCTGTGACCTACCCCAACCCCCTTAACCGCACAGACCCCGCAGGCAGCAAGCAGCCCCTGCTTTAATGGGCTTGGCGGAAACAGCTGTAAAGGAGCACCCCCTAAAAGGCCCCCCGAGAGTCAGAAAACAGGCCAGCATGGGGTGATGAGGGCCCCAGACTGGAAGAGCTTAGCACAGGTCTGCCAGCCCCTTAGTGGAGCATACCCTGCCGTAGTTCATTATTCAGCCAGAGTAGGGGGCTGACCAGGCTGTTGAATTGTCAACTCCATGATGGCCTGAGACATGGTGGTCCATTGCTCAACGCCCTGCAGACTGAGAGCCCCTCCCTCCCTGCCAAGAGACCGTGAGGGAGCTGTTGTCTTCTCTCAGTTTCATGCACCCATGGGCCCTGAGGGACACTGAGATGAGGGTCAGTGCCACCTTGTCCCCTGTGACGTGAGAGAATTCAAGGTGAACCATTCCCAGGCCAAGGTCCTGGAGAAATTGTTTATGCAATCCCAACTTTTGGACAACGTTGCTTCCCATGTCCTAGGGAGGGAAGGGTGGGCGGAGCAGAAAGGCCTGGGGGACTTGGGGCTAGGCTAGGCGGGGGCAGAAAGTTTGCAGCTGGAGCAGCCACACTCAGCCCACAAGCATGGCCCCCACAGTCCCTGGAGCAGGGCAAGGAGGCCAGCACTTCCCTTCCCAGCCTGGAGTCTCCGCCCCTGGCCTGGACACGCCTCCCCTGGCAATCCCAGCCATGTGGTCTTGCCTGGGAAGTCCCTGGCTCTAGGGCACCCTCAGCCTGTTCTTCACGGGCCTGGCCAAAGCAGAGGACCTTTTTTAGGCCTGCCCAGGCCAGCACTGGCAGACCTTTCCTCTATATGTCCCCTCCACTGTGCACTCTGTCCACTAGGTTGGAAGCCAGTGGAACTCGGTATAGATGCCAGGGTCCCCCGGGGCAGTCCCCTCCCCTAGCCTGACTGCTTCCCTACTGAGTCACCCTGTGTTTGGGAACTTCCCAGGGCCAAGCCAGGCATCACCAAGGCCCCTGCCTCCTGGGCGGGAAGCTTCTGCTGTGACTCACCTTGGCCTGGCCAGGCTCATCCTACTCTGCTCCCCTGTCCTCCCTGGGGTGACCATGGACTAAACCTTCTACCCAGGGACAGAGGTGGGAAGGTACCAGGGCACCATGCTGGGGTAAAGGGCCAGCAGTACTGTCCAGGCCACCCACCGAGCAGCCCTGTGTGCAGAGGCTTTCTGTGCATGTATGTTGTGTGCAGACAAGAGCTGGTAGCCATGACAACCAGGGAGAGTTACTTGGCCTGGCCCTGACTGCTGGACTCTAGCAGAGAGGGTGCATAGACTATGCCGGTAGCAAGCTGGTGGGCAGGAGAAGAGGCTAGCCTGGGGTCAGGGCAGCTAGCCATCTACTGCATTCCCAGGCCACAGAGGAAAACGCTGGCCCAGCTTAAGAAGTCGGGGACTCTCAGTGTCGGAACGTCTGTCCAGTGCCAGCTCCGTCCAGCCTGATCGTGAACAGCCCAGAGGGGACCTGAAGAGCTGCTCCGTGTAGTTCCGGTCTCTCTCCTGCCTGACATGTCCGTCCATCTTCCTTCCAACTCAGTCTCTCATGATTCACCTGGGACTGGGCCCCCTGTCTAACTAGTCAGTTAAGCGGTGTGGGGAAAGGAAAGGCCCCATCCTCCTACGTTGCCCAGGAAAGGGTGGGGACCTCTGCCCCTTCGGCACAGGCCCACAAGCCTCTGGCCGGGGCCTTGCTGGTTCTAGGTGCACCTCCAGGGCCCCTTCAGTGAGGCATGGGCATAGCTTGCTGACAAGTCTGTTGGCATCAGAGAAGCCTCCAAGAGCCTCTGCCATGGCCTGAGAGCTGTGCTGATGATAATAGTGATAACATCGGGGAGTGTGTCCGCCGTGGGTCGGTCCTCAGTGTGCTTTTGATATGATAGTAAATCCCTGGTTGATGATGACGGTGATGGCTGCTGGGGGCCGGTGGCGAAACAGTTGTCACGGTGGAGGTGATGTGTACGCTGATGACGATGGCTGGGTGGGGTGGCCGGTGATGGTGACCAGGTGGTAACAATTGTTTGGTCGTGGTGGAAGTGATATTGGTGGCAGCAGTGGAGGTAATGCAGCCGTTGCACTGACGGCGATGCGGTTGTCAGTGGTGATAGTGTTAGATAGTGATGGTGATGACGGTAGTGATGTTTGGTCGTGGGTGTGGGTGGTACTAGAGGTAAGGACATAATGGGAATGGGGATGGTGGTGGTGGTGTGGGGGATGATGCAGATGGTGGTGTGGGTTTTGGTGGTGTGTGTGGATGAGGGGTGATATGGATGGTGGCCTGGGACGATGTAGGATGGTAATGATATGGTTGTGGGTGGTGGTGGTGTGGGTGGTGTTGCTGATGCTTTGGTTGTTGTTGCTGCTGTTTGGTTGTGGGCGGCAGTGGTGCAGGTGTTTCTGAAGCAACAGGGTTTTACTCCTAAGACACCAGAGGCTCAAGAGGCCCAGGACACTGGGTGTGACCGTCAAGTACTTGTGTGGGCAGCTTTTCCTGCCATGGGTTTCTCGGATATTTGAAGACAAGAGCCCTGTAGGAGCTAGGGCATCTGCAAGGCACCCTGGAGGAGGGCTTTGGAGTGTAGGTGCTAGCCCTGTGCTGTGTCATGGAGGTAACCCAGACTCAACTCTTGTCCTGTGTCCACAGCTGGCAGCCGCCTGATGGGAAATCCCCCAGCCTCCTCTTTCATGGGCGGCTTCCTCACCAGCAGCCTGGGATCGGCAGCTTCTGCACACCCCAGTGGCCCTACATCTTCTCCCTCTGAGCCAGCCTACCGAGGGTCCCACCCCGCCACCTCCCAGATCTGGTTCTCCCACGCTCATGAAGGTAAGTCGGGCCCTGGGCTCCTGACTCTACCCAGGGCGGTGAACCAGCTGTCGAAACCCTTGCTGGCAGGCCCTGCCCAGAGTACTAGGGCAGGGGGCTGCCTCCCTGCCGAGGAAATCTCTCAGGGGAGGTGGTAATTGGTTGGAAATGGGGTGGCCCCAGGAGGCACTGGTCCTGGCCAGATGTGTGCTCCAGATGTTGGACGGGGAGGACTCCAGGGAACTAAGGAAATATGGAAAGCAGCTGGGCCAGCCGGACTGGGCTTGCGCCCTCCACCATGGGCTGCCCCCACCTCCCCAGACTCAAGCAGGCATGGGTTCCAGATGTCAGCTGGGAGGGAAGGCAGGGAGCAGAGAGAGACTCAGCAGGCGGAGACCGTTGTTGCCCGTTCCCACCGGCACCCCAGCCAGCCCTGCCTGTGACAGAGCTCCTCCTAGGCCACCGGCCTTGCACTTGGTCTACTTTGGCACCCTAGAGGAAGTACCTGTTACTCTCAAAGCCACGAAACACGATGGTCTCTAGAACCCTCCCCCGGCTTTTCCCAGACTAGGGTACACTTTTGCCCGGGTGTCTGCGGTTTGCCTTGTACTTTGCTTTTGTAACTTGGAAGGCGGCCCTGGGTCTCCAGTACCCCTGCCCCGCCGTGCGTCCCCCACGGTGCAGGAAGGGTTAACCCCCTCCCTAGCTGGCACGAGGGAGGTAATTGCTCTGGCTCCTGGCACCAGTCACTGCAGTAACTCAATGACTTGCTGCTCAGGCGTCCTGTTTACAGAGCGCAGTGGACCCACACACAGCGCACAGCCCAGCCCGCCCTGCCCTGTTCTAGGCAGAGAGATTAGCACTGCTGAGAGGGAGCCTGAGAAACCTCTCTTTGTGCAACAAGAAGGGGCTGTTTTCCAAACAGGACAGGTGACAAGTGAGGGACAGTTGTTCCAGTAATCTGTGCTTTGGGCTCTGCCCAGAGCACACACGTTGGGCAGGCGATAAGAAACAGTGCTCTCCTGGGTGGAGGGTAGGCCGGGTCCTGAGCACCAAATACACGCGGAGTGGGGTCTTCAGCCCACACCTACCCCTGCCCTCCCAGCAGAGTCCTGGGTGGAGCCTGGGTTGACGGAGCTGGGCCCTGGCAAGAGACTCCCTGACCAGCCGTGGGTGGCCCCGGGCCCTGCAGGGAACATTTGCTCCCTATTCTCCCAGTAGCTTTTTGTGTCTGCTGGGCATCCCCCAGCTGGCCACAGCATCTGGCTCCCAGGATGCTTGTGGGAAGGATGGGGGTGGCCAAGCAACTGTAGGCTGGCCACTCAAGAAAGGGCTGTAGCCGTGCACTGACCACAGGTGCCCTGGTAGACCTGCAGCTGGGCCACCTGACTCGATTTCCATCCTTGTAAACAGCAGCGCCCGGTCAGTGCCCAGGAACGCCAGCTCACTCAGTAGAGACACATATGCCTGCTTCCTCTACATCCTACCCCAGGAGACACCGCCAGTAAGAAGGCGGTTTGTGGGTGGTACCACCTGCCCCCCACCCCCGAGCACAGGCCTGTTCCCTATTGGGCCACTCACTCAGAGGGGTGGGTGGAGGCCTGCCGACGACACCCACGACCATTTACTTCCCTTTATATCAACGGTTGTGTGGTAGAGTCGCTTATAACCCACCCTAGGGACCCTCAAACCGCAGACCCTCCACGTGGGGCCCCAGCCTCTGCAGGTTCCGTTTTCAGCCGCAAGGATGTCCACTTGGTTGGTGACAGTAGTCAGGCCGTGTGCGGTGCAGGGTAGAGCCTAGTCCTTGGTTCTGGCCTCTGTCCTACCACTCACTCACACTCTGTCCCACATCCTGCATTCAGGGCAGGGATAGGGGCCTGGCTGTGTCCCAAGGAGAAAGCTTTTGTCTCTGAGACCAACTCCAAGGGCAGCAGGAATCTGTGTGCCCACCGCTTGGCACCCACTGTTCCCAGAGTCAGGTAGGGGAGGGCGAGCATGGGGGTGTGCCCACCACTGGGCGCTGCTGGAGACAGGTGTTTGGGGGAGGCAGTAAGTAGTCCTGGAGTGGGCTGTGCACACTTGCAATCTCCCAGGGTCCGTCCCCCCCCGGGAGTGGCAGCAAGTCCACATCTGTCTGAGACTCAATGACAACCCGTACTTTTCAGGACTGTGCCTCAAGTTACCCCCTTACTGTCCCCTCCTCTCCCCCCACCCTCCCCCGTCGGGGTTTCCCCTGTCTCTTACGTCTACAGCCTCAGTCCCTGACAGGCCACATGGCGCAGCCTGCTCTGTGCGGTAGAGGCCAGGGCGGGCGGGGCGGGAGCGAGTGGCAGGCTGGCTGGCTGCCCTGGCAGCGTGCCTGGCTGCTAGTCTGACGGGGTGCCAGCTGGCTCCACGTGCTAGGGCCTGTTTCTCGGCCATGTGTGTACAGGAGGGCGGGGGGCAAGGCAGGCAGGGGGCACGCGACGCGGCCGGAGAATGGGGGCCATCCAGCACGGAGGGGCTTCCTGGGCAGTAGGCCAGGAGGCCGGCCTTACCCTAGTCCTGCTTCCTTCGACCACCCCCGGAATGCGAATGCAGAGATGCAGGGCTCTGCCTCCTCACCGCCTCCTCCCTGCCCTGAGCCTTCTAGTGTCTAGGGCAGGTAGGCCAGCAGCGTAGGGCTGACTAGTAGCACTCCATGTGGGAGTTAGCCATAGGTGCCCTCCTACTCTTGACAGGGACTCTGAGACTGCTAGAACACCCTCCCCTCACCATCTGCAAGGCAGCTGCCAGAGCGGGGGCCCAGGCTTCCTGTGTCCCTGGAACATCTGGGGGTCCAAGGGATGCGCCCTGGTGTTGGAGGAGCCGCCTAAGAACATCTGGCCTGGAGCAGGGCTTCCTTGCTGAGCCCCAGGCCTTCTGGCCCTTTGGCTCACCCAAGATGATGGGTCTTGCCAGAAGTGAACCTTCAGGGCCTTGGGGTAGGGTGGACAGCAGAGCTGGCCTGGGGCAGAGGTGAGTGGCCGGCTGCCAACCTGGCCTGGGTGGATGGGGCCGGGGCGTGGTCCAGCACAGCTGGCCTTATTGTCCGTTGAGCCTGCACACTGCGCCCCCCCAACCAGCTGCCTGCTTGGGACCACCCACAGGGCGGTGAAGGGGGATGCTGTTGCTAGGGGCTTGGGGATGGGTACAGGAGCTCCAAGCCCTGTTATTCGTGGTCTCTTATACCACCTGGAGGGGGAGCCATGGGCACACATGCCAGCACTGGCTGGCTGCCTAGCCAGCTTCTGCCAAAACCACACCCACCCTGGTGGCCACTTCTCCATCCATGCCTGGCTAGATCCCAGTGAGACAGGAGCCACACACAGGAGCCACCACCAAGCGTATCCTGCCGTTCCAGACCCCACACACCCCCATGCTCCTCCAGCTGCCTCTGTCTCCCCCTCCATGCCTCGTGAGGCCGCAAGACTTAGTACAGGGGTAAGCGGGGGCTGGAACGTGTCCAGCAGCAGGAGGACAGGTCCTGTCCAGCACCCGCCCACATGGGTGGGCCAAAGTCTGCTGTGACCCATCAGATTCCGTACCCTGGAACTAGCCCCCTGGAGCCTTCGCCTGCCCGAACACCGTTTCTACAGAGAGGCCCTGGTCACTTTCTCCCTTTCTTTTTCTGTTGCATTTGGTTTTCTTGCAACAGACTGGCCGTGCGACTCTGGCTGGCCTGGCACTTGCCGTCTGGTCTAGACATCGCAGCGATTCAGTGATTCTTACCTCTCCCTTTTCTCTCCGCCTCCCCATTGCTAACGTGTAGGCGTGAGCCATGGCACCCTGCAGCCTCTCCTTTCTCCCTTTAGCTATTTTTTTAAGATTATTTTTAAATTTTAATTGTGTGTGTAGATGTGTTTCCTGGTGTGGGTATGCACACATGTGAGTGTAAGAGGACATTGGGTCTCCTGGAGCTGGATTACGGGTTGTTGGGACCCGCCAGAGGTGGGTGCCGGAAGCAGAACTCAGGTTCTCTGCAGGTGCATTACACACACCTTTCCGGTACCTTCTGCCCTATGCATGAGACAGCATCCCCTTGACTGCCCCCACCCCCACCCCCAGCCTTGGCCCATCCTCTTTGGTCCTCTGCGTCACCCTAGGTCCTCCGAATCTCATAGTGTCCTTACCAGTGTCCACAGGAGCTGCTGAGCTAGTTGAGAAAATCTGGCCACACCAACACTCAGGGGCATCATGGAGTCTGGCAGCGATATCAGGGTGTCCCATTGGTTAGGCTACCTTCAACCAGCCCCATTGCAGGCAGAAAGAAGCAGCTACAGGGGTTCAGGGCTTCCCCAGATGCTCAGCACAGCGTAGCGAGCTGCATTAGCCTTGGGTTCAGATGCTCGGCTCAGAGGCTCTGAACGTGTCTCCTCGCCTGTGAACCCCACCGGTTAACACAGCAGCTTGGACACAGAACGACATAGGCCCAGGACTTCAGAGAGAAGCTTCTACCCTCTGCACCGTTTCTCAGATATATACACTGGGAGCAGTGTGGTAGGCAGTGGCCGTGGTCACCAGGCAAAGGTCTTCCTGGATCTTAGGATCTGACCTGGGCAAGAACAGTTGCCATCCAGATAAACCTGCTCACTGCCCGTGGGTGAGTAGAGTCCCAGGCACAATGGGCCACTTGGGACTCAGGAGGCATGGGTGACAGAACTGTGGTCCCAGGTACCCAAGGTGTTGGGGCCACATCCAGGACACTCCTGCTCCTGGGTTTCCCCATCAGTTGACTTCCCCACCACTGGCCAGTGCCAGACTCCTCCCTGTGATGTAGAGGACTATCCCTCTGGATCCAGGGCAGCCTGCCCATGGGAGCCTGGCTCCTTGGGCGCTTAGTTATTCCTCTCAGCCTGGGGACATGGAGACTGCAGGCCCCTGTTCCCTGAGTTATGGCTCAGCACTCTGCAGGCCTTAGGGAGGAGACATACCCTGAAGAAGGCTGCTATTCTAATCTGGAGCCACTTGGGTGGTCAATCCTGGGAGCTTCGCTTTGAAATCCTGGCCTAGATGACTAGGAGTCTGACCAACTAGAGTGAGGAGACCCTGAAGCAGGGGCACTTGGCAGGGAGAACTTGGGTTGTTGCTAGGTTACTCCCTTCAGCCACTAAAGCAGAGATGGCAAGCGTCCTGTGAACTGGCTGCCACATCCTGCCTGTTCCCAGGGCAGACATTACTAGTCAATTAAGCGGCATGAGAATCTAGCTTTAGGATTCTTAGCCCAGCACTCTGGTCTGTCATTGAATAAACTTCAGTGGAAATCACTGGCAGTGAGGGAGAGGGGGTGTTAGCTGGGAGAGGGCTAGCACCAAGTTCCTGTTGAGCATCCATGTGTCACCGTCACAGCAAACGGTGCCAGGCCCCATTGCCAGTGGGAAGGCGGACACTTGCAGCCAGTCTGAGGACCTTCTAGGTGCCTGTTCGTCCCGGATGGGCAGGAGGAGCCCCCTCCTCATGCTTCCCTACCCAGCTGATCATTTACCGGCCTGCTCTGCTGTCTTCTGTGTCTTTCGAATGCTGTCTCTAGATGGCTTCACTGCCGGCCATGTTCCTTTCTTTTTCTGACTGTTGACCAGGAGTCCCCACCTCCTTCACCACCACCAGGGTCTTTGGCAGCTGTGGCACACCTACCCAGGGCCATTCTCCAGGTCAGCTAGCAGTGCCAAGGAAGCAGGTGGCTCAGATTTGTCCAGTGGTCACTGGAGCAATAACGTCCATTTTGGATGGGCAGAGGCCACGGGGGAAGGGAGGCCCTGGGGTCTGATCTTCCGGCGAGCGGACCTAGCGGTCAGAAGTGTGAGTTCTCTCTGCCCCCCCCCGGGGTCCTCTCCCTGATGCCCCCTGCCAGGGGCCTCCCTAGACCTTCCCAGCCCAGGTCTGGTCTCCTTGGTTCTTTGAGTGCTGCATCTCCCAGCCTTGGCTTCTGGTCTCAGAGCAGCTCTGATCTGAAAGTCATTTTCTATCTTCAGTTCAGGGAAGGAGAGTCTTGGGGGTGGGGTGGGGGGAAGGGGAGCCTTTCTGTTGCTGGGCTAAGAAGGCCCCCCTCTCCTCACCCCATCCCCTGAGAATCTATCCCTCCCCTGCTTTGTTTCTCTAGTCAGGTTCCCCATTTGAGGGCTGGGAGAACCTCCACGCACCAGAATGGCCGGTAGAATTCAGGCCCGCTCCCTGGATTGGCAGCCACCAGCCTTTTGCCTTGGGTGGGAAGGGAGTCCCTTATTCAGCTAACCAAGTGCCCATTGCCCCCAGAGAGCAGGAAGAGGCCCAGGCCTCCTCGGGGACTGCAGGGGGGGGGGTGCGGGTCTGGGCCTGGAAACATTGTCTGGGAAGGAGGAATTTACAGACTTCTGTTTACCAAAAAATGAGGCCCCGTAAAACATTTAACAGCAGCCAATTACAGGGGACAGCTGCCGTGGTTTTACCCACCCACCCCCAGGCCCCAACCCCCCCCCTGCCCAGCTGCTCCCACCCAGGCCTCTCTGCTTTTGTCAAGTCTTCCAGGAGCTGAGTTTAATCTGGTCAACATCTGCTACAGATGTGTCCACACACACCAGGCCAGTGGGGCAGATCTTTCCGTCAAAGTCTGCTCTTCGGCAAGAGGGGAACTGGCCTGGCAGTGGACGCTGTCTCCCGTGTGGTGTGGTCTGAGGGTATGCGCTCATCTGAGAGATGTCCCTATACCATGCAGGCAGGTTTCCGTGTCACAGAAGTCTCTGAGCCTTCACACGGCACCCCCTGCCTTGTGACTCAGATGGAAGGCTGCACCCTCAGACAGGCAAGATAGGTCCCTTCCTACGTGTGGCACCCAAGAGCTACTGAACAAGAGATTGTCCCACAGTGTCGTTGGGGGCGGGGGGGGGGATGGTCTGAATGGTGGCTCCATGGGAGTAGGGTGTAGCGTGTGATCTCTGCCTGAGCCGTGGAGTGTGCGCCGTGAACTGTTTACCAGCTCTGAGTCCTTTGCCTCAGCTGGGAGTCAGGCGTGTTCCAGAGAGCTGCCTGGCCCCATGCCACAGAGGCCTCCTCTACGTCAGCATCCGGGCAGATCAGCTTCTGGAGACGTGGGACAGGACTGACATGGCCAGATAGCTGTCTTGTAGCACTGGGTCGGCCTTTTCAGGGTTTTGCCTCGTTCTCCCAGACCCTCGGCTACGAGGGAGGGGTTCAAAACAGTCCCTGCCTCAACAGCCTGAGAGTTAGTTCTGTGGTAAAAGATTCAGGGAAGCCAAGTGAAGCAAGGCTGAGTGAGGCTGGGCTGCGAGACTTGTCCGTGACTTCACCGTGACGCCGTGAGTGTCCTGATGCCCGGCTACGGGGTTATGTCCAGAGCAGAGCATGTGAGAACCCCACCCAGGCCCAGCCTGCCGGCTCCTGTTCTGGTTTGTTCTGTACTGTGGGGAAATGCCTGCCTGCTGGATGGAACCTTCAGGTTTTCCAGCTCACCCCAGGGGGCCTCTGCCTGATGCTCACAAAGGCCCCCAGGCACCCCAACCCCATGCACCCACAGCTGTCCTTACAGGGTTAGCTTCAGTCTGATCCAACCTCCAGGCTGGAGGAGACATAAGTTCTCCTCCTCATATCTTAGCAGCTGTCTTGGTGACAGCAGTGGGTAGGGTCAGTAGCTACCAGCAGCCAAGACTCCTTGGCAAGTTTGATAGAGGTTCAGGTCTCCGAGCTCCTGTCAGGCCTGCTGGGAGGGACCAGCCAAGAAGCCATAACCGTACGGGCTGGTAGCTCTGAGTCTCTACCTCCGAGCTTCCCAAGAGAAGCCTGTGCAGTGCTGCGGCTCTTTCCACCTTGAAAATATCTTAGATGTGCTGATTCTGTTTTACGTGCATGAGCATTTTGCCTGCATGTGTGCCTGATGCCCTCTGAGATCAGAAGGGGATGTTGGGTTCCCCGAAAATGGAGTCGTGGGTGGTTGTGAACCACTTTGTGGGTGCTGGGAATTGAACCCAGGTCCTCTAGCAAGAACAGCCAGCGTTCTTAACCACTGAACCATCTCTCCAGCTCCCAATGCTGCGGCTTTTGTGCCCCCTCTCAAGGCTTGCTGTCAGGACTCAGCCATCTTTCTTACAAGGTGACAGGAGCCCAAGGTCAACAGGCTGGGATTGGCTCGTGGTTAGCATTATTATGTCATGTAGGCACCCCCCTTCAGGCCCTTGGCTGCCTCTGAGGGGCAGACAAGGGGCCTGCCTAGTAGAACTCCGTTGCCAGGTAGCAGTTGGGACCGAGGCCTTGCACAGTGTGGCATGCCAGGGACTCTGCAGCCAGCAGCATAAGATGCTGGGTTCCCATGGAGAGACCCGTGGCTTCCAACAAGTGGGAACTGTCCACATCCCCAGCTTCAGCTCCCTAGAGTATGAGTCACCTAGACCAGCTGTGGTACAGCACAGCTCCTGGGCCATCTGCCTTCCTGGGAGTCTGTGAAGGATGCAGACTGGAGACCCTGTCTGGTTTGGCTCTCCCTTGGCTGAGAACTCACAGAGTCCATACTGCATCCCTCCTTTCAAGCCCCTTTGTTGCCCAGCCTGGAAGCTCCTACCACACCAAACACTGCTGGGAGGGAATCAAAAGCAGCCTCCCCCTCTCCAGCCCCTAACCCATCAGCATTCAATTTGTGCTGCACCGGAGGGATGGTATTAGTCGAGTCAGAGTTAATATGATGTATTGATGGGTTGATTTCCCACTGGCGGGCTGTGGGCAGGCTCTGTGGGGTGTTGCTCCTTGGGCTCTCTGCTTCTTGCCTCCTTGGGGTCAGGGTGGTAAGGGCCAGGGAGCCAAGAGTCGTCTCTGCAACCCGAGCTTTGCTTCCCTAGCTCCTGCGTACCCCAGATTTTCGGGGAGTCTGGCATCCACCTTCCTACCCGTGAGCCACTTGGATCACCATGGAAACAGCAATGTTCTCTATGGGCAACATCGTTTCTATGGAACCCAAAAAGGCAAGTGCTGCGGGGCTTGGTGTGGGGTGCAGCGCATGCATGCCGAGGGGCGACCTTAAGGGGTACCAGTGAAAGCAGCAGGCTGGCGAGCCCTCCTCCCCCGGATAGGCGGGGCCCAGAGGAGGACTTCCTAGCACCATTGCAATGTGTCTAGGTCCAGGCACGCTGAAGCGACCCACAAGGTCTCATTACCTGCCCTTGGGACGGAGGATCAGGGCAGGAAGTGTTGGGGGGGGGTCGGTTCAGAGCCTGACTTACTCTCATGCCTGAGCCGGTTCTAGACAGCCAGGAGTCCCACCTGAGCCCTACCCCACGAGGCAGGCAGTTCCTCAAGCAGGCATTTTGAGAGTTCCCACCTGGATAGAGGTGGCTGGGGTAAAGCCAGAGATTTCAGTCCCTGTCACGGGGTGAAGGTGCTTGTTTTTGAGGGGCTGTTTGCATTTGGGGACATTCTTCTGTGGTGTGGCTAGACCCAGGGCTGGCACTGGAGTAGTGGCCATACTAAAGTTTCAGGTGTCCCTGTGATGAGATAAGACACAAACCCAGTCCCGTAAGGCCAGAGTTAGTGGCGGCAGGAAATGCATGCCAGGGCAGAGGGGTGCATTCCTAAGGATCCATATGAGTAAGAACTGTCTAAGGAGGTAAACCCAGGTTAGAGATGGAGGCTAGGGGCCTTGGGGGTGCTAGACATGGGTGGTCCCCGGGTAACAAGGCACCGATGTGCAGTAGGGGAGGGTGAGTGGGGCCGGCAGTTTCCACAAACCGCTAGGGAGACCCACCCAGGGTAGCGGAGGGAGTGCCGGTCTCTTTGCCAGTAGCCATTAGGAGCTGGGATAGGGAGAGAGTGCAGAGGGCCTTCGGGCAGCCCTCCTGGACCAGGAAAGGGAACTGAGTGCCTGAGGGTGCCTGGCATGTCCGCACCCTTGGAATCAAGGTTCTGCACATTAGGGTACAATGGAGTCTTGGAGTTGCTGAAGCTCAGAATAGCCTTGACCTTGCTAAGACTGGTCTAGCTGTGAATGGTGCAGACTGCCCTACTTATAGGGTGGCCAGGAAGCCTACCCCAGCCCCACTTAGGGGCCGGGTTTCATCCCAGACAGCTCTGCCACAAGCTCCCAGACTTGAGAGCTTGTGGGCTGTATCCACCGAGCCCTTAGTCACACAGCCTCTCCACCCCCATGCCTGCAGCTGCTTTGACAGCATCTGTCAAGGGTGGGCAGGTGGCTAAGCTAAGCCCTAGAAACCAGACTGGTGAACCTGGGCCCAGGGACTCCCTCTGGGTGGGGGGGCTGACTGGTGTCTTGGCGGCTGCTGGCCAGGCCTCTCCGCTTTCACAATATTGTGGTGGAGCTTCATCCAAGAACATTATTTGGTTTTGGAAATTGAGCTAATTAGGTTTCTCTTGGGCTACCCCTCTCCGTCTCCCCTTCCCCCTAGTTTTTAATTAGAGGAAATTGACAAGGAATTTACATGACCGAGGACAGTTTTACAAGTTGCAAATGTTTTTTTTTTTTTTTCTTTCTTCTTTTGTTTCCCTGCCTAGTGCTGTCCGTTAGCTAGGGCCTGGCCCTGCTGCCCCACTCACTCAACTAGGGGGAGGTAGGGCTGCCCCTCAGGTCTACGAGAGGTTCCATGTGGCTCTAGCTTGGCTGGCAGAGAGTAGGTGTCCCTGTCCCCAGGGCTCGCTGATGACAGCCTGGAGCTGACCCTACCTGGGCAGGAAGGGTTTGCCCCAGATCCAGGGCCACAAGCTGGATGATGGCCCAGAGCTGCCAGGGTTGGGATGCAAGGAGGTATGGTAGTCCTGTCTCCCTAGAGACCATTTCCCCTCCTCCCTACTTTGGTCCCTCCAACCCCAATCCTATTAGCCTGAGATAGTCAGGTAAGGTGTTGGAGCCTGGGGCGGGGTGTTCTTCAGAGCGTCCTAGAGGTGGGTCTCCCGCACCATCCCATCCTCGGACGCCCCCCGGACTCACTCCTATCCCTACCCTCCCACCGTAGCAGTCACAGCAGCTGGTGTGGGAAGAGGGGTTGGAGCTACAGGCAGGCATCACTGCCGCCTGCGCCGCCAGGCACTCGGCTGCCACAGCACTTGCTCTAGGCTGCACATCTCTAGAGCTCTGTAGCGGTATCGGTGCCCACCCCCACTCTGAAAATCTGAGACACCGAGCCGGCTAGGAATAGACGGGATCAAGGCTCTGCAACCCCAGGCTCCTGGGGCTAAAACAGAGGACGGGGAAAGGGATGGCCAGTGTTCAGAAAAGGAAGGGTGTACCAGTTTGGAAAGTTGACGAGATTCTGGCTGTGGATGGTGGTGATACTCAAACCTCGTTGTTTGATGTGCTCCAGGCCCTTAACCGAGCAGTTGAAGATGGTCGTTTTATGTTGTGTAGTGTGTCTGTGATTCCAAAAATGTTTTTTAATTCCATGTTGCATGTATGAGTGTTTTGCCTGCGTGCGCGCACCAGGTCCCCACACAGGGCAGAAGAGGTACTAGCTCTCCTGAAGCTGGAGTTACAGATGGTTGTGAATCACCATGTGGGTGCTGGGAGCCGGACCTGGGTCCTCTGTAAGAACAGCAGGTGCTCTTAAGCACTGAGCCACCTCTCCAGTTCCCTCTTTGATTTGAAAAAACAAAACAAAACAAACAAAACAAAAACCCTGCCAGGGTTGGGGACACTAATCTAGGCTCATGGCTGGCTGCTCTCCACTTCCTGTTGACTTTGGCACTTTTGTCTCACAGATAACTTCTACCTGCGAAACCTGCCCCCACAGCCCACAATCCTACCTGCCAACCACAACTTCCCGGGAGTGCCCCGAGCCAGCCCTGCTCATCCCATTGGATCCTGCAGCCGGGACCGCATCGAGGCTGCCCCGCTGCAGAAGGGTCCTAAGGAATTTGACCGCTTCCTCATGGGTAAAGAGCTGGGCAAAGAGAAAGCTGGCAAGGTAGCGGAAGGCAGAGAGCGCCATGTGGCAGAGGAAGACAGCGGCAAAGACCGCCAAAAACTGGTGCCACCCATGCCCCCCGAGGGGTCCTGCAAGGAGGGGGCTCCCGCAACTCGGGGGTCCTGTGAGGGCCGCCCCAAACATCTCACCTCCTGTCTGCTCAACACCAAGGTACTCAACGGAGACATGGGCAAGGCCTCACTGGCCAGCTGTGCAGGGGGAATGCTAGGCCGGCCCAGCACGGGTGTAGCAGCACCTGGACGCTGTGCCAAGGAGGTGGCGGGCCCTGTGGAGCCCGGGCCGGCCTTCAGCGAGTGCCTGGAGCGGCGACAGATGCTGCATCATTCTGTGTCCTACACAGTACCCTCTGGCCTGCCTGCCGGGCCGCCCCCTCCCCTCAGCACAGGCCCTGCAGGCTCCTTTCCCTGCCTGCAGCTGCATGCAGGTCCAGAGGGGCTCTGCCCCCTTCAGGACAAAGTCTCCCGGGACCTAAAGGCCAGCGGGCCCACCTTTGTGCCTTCTGTGGGACACCTGGCTGACAAGAGCCGCCCTTTCCAAGTAGCAGAGGCCTGTGCCGTGGCAGGTGATGGCAAGGACAGGCACCTGGATGGGGCCATGGCCCCCGACCATGGCGCACCCTATGGGGTCTCCTATGCCCACCTAAAGGCCGAGGGCAAGGGTGAACGTCGACCTGGGGGCTTTGAGGCAGCCCTCCACCCCCGGCTGAAGGGCCTGGAGTATCTCGGTGCCGGCCCTGAGGCCCCTTTCCCTGGACTCCCCAAAGGTGGTCTGGACAAGAGTGGCTACTTCGAGTTGCCTACCCCTTCACAGGACTGTGCCCGGCCCAATCACCAAGACTCACTGAGTGGGAAGGCCACCCAGGCCTGCTGCACTTTAGACAAAATGACCAGCAAAGAGGCCCCTGCTGGTCCCCCAGTGGCCCAGAAGGTGGCCCGGATCCGGCATCAGCAGCACTTGGTGGCTCCTGAGGTAGAGTCAGGGGGCAGTGGGGTTGAGGCTAAACGCAAGTCCGTGGAGCTGGCATCCCTGGGTTACAGCGGGCCCCATATGCCTCCGTGGGGCGTTCAGACAGGCCACGGCACCTCCATGGCCGTCAGTGAAGAGAGAAAGGGTAATGCCTACCTTGACCCCTTCGGCAATGGCCTACAGCAGGCAGCCCTCCTGTCCCAGGAGCTTCCCACTCCACCAGATGAGGTCTCGGCCATGAAGAACCTGCTCAAGTACAGCAACCAAGCCTTGGTCGTGGGCCAGAAGGCTCCCTTTGTGGGTCTGGGTGGCCTCAAAGCCAGCTGCGTCCAGCAGGAAGCCAAGTTCCCAGCCACTAAGGGCCCGGGCCCAGTGGAGAGACCGGACTGCGCCCGCAGCCGGGACCACGAGGCCCCGCACGGAGACGGGGAAGTCCGGCAGCCACCTGTAGGCATTGCAGTGGCCTTGGCTCGGCAGAAGGACACCGCCAGCAGACCTGATTCAGCCTACAGTACCAACAGTAGTGGGCGGCAGGGCAGGGCCGCCCCCACCTTCAAAGGTATGGTGTCCTTGGCCAGGGAAGCAAGATGGCATCCAGTGTTCCTCCCCTGCCTGTGAGCCCCATTGGACTCCCCACTTCACAGGGCCAGGGAACCCCGCCCCAACCCCCAGGCTTCCACACGACTCTCCGGCTAGCCCATTGTTCTGCCATCTTTATACTCTGCAGCTGCTGGAGCGTCCCGTGCTGCCCACGCGCTGGACCTGGAGAGTGAGGAGGAAAGGACGCGGATGTGTGATGACCGCCTGGGGCTGCCCGGCCGAGAACTGCTATTACAGTAAGAGCTGAGTGGGGGTCCTTGGCGGGTCTGCCCTCTTGGAGCCCTCATGGGAGGAAGGGAAGCATTATAACCACGGTGCCAGGCACTGGCCTGGCGTGTGCAAAGCATGCACAGGGCTCCCACCTCCCCCAAAGGGCTCTGCTCACTGACCCTCCACTGGAACTGAGGCCCAGAGCCTGGGGTCTCCTAGGAGCCTTACACCTCCATTCCCCCTTGTAGGCTGACAGTCTGAGGAGGGGCTGGAGATGGCTGGGGCAAGGGAGGGGGCCAAGCTGACTCTTATCGATGTTATAGAGACAACCAAGACCTCGTGGAATTTGCCCGGATCCACCCTTCAAGCAGCTGCCCTGGAGACCTGCCCCCACACCTCATGATGCAAGGCGGCCAGCTGGGCGGGGACCCGGCCCCCCACCCCCACCCTGCCCACCCCCACTGGCTGCCCCGCACCCGAAGTCCCTCCTTGTGGATGGGGGGACATTCCTATGGTCAGTGCTCTGAGAGTGGACTGGGAGGCTGTCTTGGGGTTGGAAGTCATCCTCTCCTGGCTACCCAGGAGTGGGAAGCCTGAGAATTACTTATGGGCTCTCTGGGCTGAGGACTACACTTTTGTTCCGCAGGCCTCGGACACCCTGCCCTGCACCAGAATCTGCCCCCTGGCTTCCCGGCTTCTGTGCCCGGATCCATGCCCTCAGTGTTCCCCCTTCCCCAAGATGCACCCACGCAGCTAGTCATCTTACCCTCGGAACCCACACCCCACACTACCCCTCACACGCTTGGTAAGGACTGTTCTGCCATCTGGCTGTTTGCACTCGAGGCTGTTGGCAGGGGATCTAGGGAGGACAGCCGTCTCGGCAGGGGGGATGGATAGGGGGAGGTAGGCATATATGTGCCTGACCCGGACCAAGGAGAGAACTATGAAGTACCTGGTGTATCTCCTCAGGGACGGGCTGGGATGGGTTGAAGGGAGATGGAGATGGGGGAGACTTGCGCAGGCAGGTGGGCCCCTTTGTCTCTGGCTGCAACTGATAGTCCTCTGGCCCTGCCCACAGCTGACGTTATGGACCAGGCCTCACTGTGGCCCCCCATGTATGGGGCACGGGGCCCTCCTTCACATATGCAGCACCCTGGCCAGCTCCCAGTATACTCTAGGTCCCAGCTGCTGAGGCAGCAGGAGCTGTATGCACTGCAGCAGCAGCAGCAGCAGCAGCAACAGCAGCAACAGCAGCAGCAGCATCGGGCCACCCAAGCACTGGAGCTGCCCCGAGCTGCCCAGTTCCAGGTACCATGTTCCCAACAGCCACACAACCTGAGATCCAAGACACTTTGCATGTCTTCCACCAAGCACTGGGCCATGGGGTGGGGGACCCTGAGGGTGTGGCTGTCTGAGCCTCTTCCCCTCCCCCCCACTCAACAGCGCAAGCCTGAGGATCGTCACGTGGAGCTGGAGGAGCCTGCCCAGGAGAAGGCCCCGAAGTCCACCCACAAGCCAGTTGCCTTAACCCCCATGGCCAAGGGCACCCCCCCATCTGCCCCTGCAGGCCTGGTCAAGCTATCACCCTGCTGCCACTCACCCACTCTGAAGACCCCTGCTGGTGGCCCCACACCACCTCCTCGTCCCAACGCCCCCTGCACTTTATCCATCTGCCCTACTGGCAGCCCAGGGCCTGGCTCCAAGGTGCCTAGCACCAAGGACAAGAGTGGGGAGGGCCAGCGGGCTGGAACCGACCTCACCACGCTGGAACCAGGTGAGGGAATGAGCCACTTTGTCCTGGCAAGTCTTGCCCCTACTGGGTGGGTGGGGCCGCTGCTGTGCTACCCGGGCATTCCCGTACCGAGCCTGTGAAGTCCTTCACATCCTTTCTCTTCCCTCTTGACAACCGTCCTATGATGCCTGGGTTAGTGTACAGGCCCAGATCCCGGCCCCTACACTCTGGGGGCAAAATATAAACCATATCGACCCCTTCCACCGGCCCGTGCAGGGAGTCTGGGAGTGAACCCAGATTTTCAGCAAAGCCGAGCAAAGAGGCAATGCCTCCATCTGGGGCCAGAGAAATAATCTGCCCTGCCTGAGGCAAGGAGACGTGGTTGTCCTGGGATCTCATGCCTGCTACCGACCAGCTTTCTGTTAGCCTGTGATTTTCTTAGACTCAGGCTGGGCACTTTGGACACCCATCTGACGAATGTAAAGCCTGTCCCGGTTCCACAGTAAGGAGACTGAGCCAGCAGAGGTTTCGCGTTTGAGTATTTTGTTCTGTCTCAAATGAACAGGGCATTATGCCTCTCGCGTGCTGCCAGTTTGTTCTAGCTCAGAGAAAGCCCCAATTCAAATACCATGGTTTAAAAACCCTCTTTTCCAGCCGGTCGGTAGTGGCACACACCTCTAATCCTAGCACTCAGGAGGCAGAGGCAAATGGGTCTCTGTGAGTTCGAGGACAGCCTGGTCTACAGAGGGAGTTCCAGGACAGCCAGGACTACACAGAGAAACCCTGTCTCACAATTAAAAAAAAAAAAAAAAAAAAAAAAAAAAAACCTCTTTTTCAGACAGCCTCACCAGAGATGTGCCTGAGGGTCCGTCCCTGTGGGTCTCTGATCGGTGCTGGTGCTTCTTCTTCCCCCCTCAGGATAGCATGACCCCCGTGCCCGTCTCCTGTCCCCCCTCCACCCTGCAGTGGGGCCGTGATTTTGCTGTTCCCAGCTGGCCTCTTACATGTGCCTTCTTTTACAGACCTGCCTCCAGGATTGAACCCCACGGCTGGTGTGGACTTCTCCCTCCCTGCAGATGTGCACTCCTCTGAACCCCCAGACCCCAAAACTATGCAAACCACTACCCCAGGGACTCGGCCTGAGCCCACAAGGACGTTCTTACCTGGGGAGCCACCCCCCTGCAGCCCCAGGAGCCTAGAGGAGCCTGGGCTGCTCTCAAGGGCCAGGGATGCCACCCAGGATCTTGCCATCATACCCCACCCCGTAGAGCGGGGACTCCCACCAGGAAAGGCAGATGACCCTGGTCCACTTGAGGGCTTGCAAGCACTGAGATTTGGAGACCTCCTGGAGGGAGGAGGCACTGAGGCTACTGGGCAGACCAGTTCTACTCAGGGAGGGTTGCAAAGTGAAAGTTCTGTGGGTCAGGGGGTGCCACGACCCCCTTTGGGGGCTGCCCCTCAAGCACTGGAACAGACAGCGGGAAGCCCGGTTGCCCTGGAGAAGGATGACGGTTCTCAGAAGGTCCCGGATGCAGCCCCGCTGCAGGAGGAGGAAGCTCAGCTGGCAGAGAACGGAGGGGACTCAGAGGTGGACTGGGGGACTCCCAACCACAGCCACCCACCCAGAGTGCTGCCAGGCTTGGATGCTTTGGTGGCTGCCACTGTGGACCTAGGGGACCTGCCTGACATCAACCTGCCAGCCCCTCAGACCCCAGCAGCCTCGGTGCCTCTCAGCACGGCCCCTCAACCCCATACCTCAGGGATTCACGGGATCGCCCTGCTCAGTGAGCTAGCTGACCTGGAGATCCAGCGGCAGAAGAGCGAGCTGGCCGTGCAAGGTGAGCCCTGGGCCCCTTGAGATCTGGACCGTCAGGATCAGACAGGTAGATGGTGGCCTTTGGCCCGGTGCAGTTGTCCCTGAAGAAAGGAAAGCCCCAGGGAGGGAATCATTGTGCCCCTTGGGTCCTCCTTCATAGGAATCAGGTGCGGCAGTACCAGCTGCCGCGGCATCCACTCTGGCCTGGAGGAGCCAGCTGGCTCTGGGCAGGACCTTTGGGACCACCCCTCTGTGGCAGGTTCAAGCCATTTCTAGCAGAAGATGCTGAGACCGAAGGCAGAGGTTTAAATGCGGGTTGGGAGCAGGAGAGGGAAGCTCAGTGTGCTGCTTTCTGAGGGTGGGTGGTACCAGACTGGGATTGCTGAATCCCTCAGCCTCAGAAGGATTCCCATACACCCCAGCAGGCTGAGGCTGCAGGGTTTCTGTCCTCAGGCTGAGTTCTGGGACGAGGAGCCCCTAAGCTCACCCAGCCAACCACTTAAAGGCCCTCCAATAAGTACAATAGGATGAGATCTGGAGCCTGAATGTCTCTACTCAGCAGAGAGACCCCACACGGTCCCCAGCCGCCCCTGCACTTGGAGCCCCCTCCTAAGTGCCGTGGAAACAGGCACCTCCCCTGGGGACTGCAAAGGAAGCCCCTTACTAAGGAGCACACTAGCCAGCCATTGTGCAGCGTGATGTTTGCAACGAAAACGTCACAGTCTTTGGGTTCAGCCTTGTTTTCCTGGCGCATAAGGCTCCCAAGGCCTCTGTGTCTCTGCGCTCTGAGGAGACACACTGGGTGTTCTTGTAAAGCTGATTTCCCTGAAGGCCCTTGTCCTTGCCCGCGGTGTTGGGGGATGGCGGCGGCTGTAGGGGGCTGTGAGGGCAGCCTAACCTCAAACTTACCCTGGTAAGAGTCAAGGGGAAAGGGATGGGCAGTGCCAGGGACTATAGGCCCCGGAGAAGCTCCTGCTGGGCGGCATAGAGAGGAGAGACCCGGGAACCCTGGCTGGACCCCTGCTGAGGCCTGGCTTGAGTAATGTGTCAAGGCCAAGCTTCCAGGGCTCCCCCATACGAAGGCTGTATAGTAGCGTGAGGGGGACCACGGGGCACCAGTCAGGTGCTGGGTGCCATGTTTGCTCTTGCCACACTGTCTGTGAATGCTGGGAAGGCTGGAGCCTCTTCATTGAGTAAATACCCTTAGAGCACGCTGGAGTGGGGGCAGGGCACATCTCCTGTGAGTGTTGTAGCTGCCAAGCTATGCGGTTGCTTTAGTCCCAGGCTGTGATCCCAAGAAGCAGAGTCCCAGCAACTGCCCAGCTACACCAAGCCCGTATGGTCCTAGAGCACCTTCTCCTGGCCGCGTAACGGGCTGACTCTAAGCCATTGCTGGAAGGGCAGCCTTACGAATTGTGGTAGCCGCTGTGGTTGAAATCCATCAGATCAGCTTCCACCAAACAATCTGAGGAGAGACAAATGGGAAAAGTAGGTGCTGAGCCAGGCTGCTGGCACCAGGACAAAGGGGAGACCCTTGGGTGGCCCAGGCCTGGCAGAGCCATCTGTGTAAAGTCCTGGCCACAAGGGCATCCAGAGCAAAGGAAGGCGTATAGGGCTCACATCTGTCCTCGGCTTATAGTGGTGAAGGGATCCGCCTTCTACCAAAAGACAAAGCCCAGCCTGCTTTCTCCCTCTCATTGCTAGGGACCCTACAGCCTGTCTCTAGCCTGGAAGGTATCCCATGGTAGAGACTTTAGCCAGGAAAAAAAAATTATGCCCAAAGGTTTGAGCATTTGCCAGCTGCCCTTCATGATACCTCTCCTAGCATCAAAGAAGCAATCCCTTTTTTTTTTTTTATTTCCGTTTTTGTTTTGTAATTGAGATGGGGTGTCTCTGTGTAGTCCTAGCTGTCTTGGAACTCACTGTGTAGACCAGGCTGGGCTCGAACTCACAGACATAAAACCCACCTCTGCTTCCTGAGTGCAGGGCTTAAAGGCGTGAGCTGCCACCGCCCAACCAGGAGCAGCCTTTAAGAGAGACGGTTCCTTGGTCTCCTGGACGTGTGTTGTACTTGACCTGGGTACTCACCCACCACTGTGGGACACCTGGGCTGGGCTTCACCGATTTTCCTACTGACTGGATTCCAGCAGGGCCTTTTTGGTGGGGCCTCCAGGGCAAGCTGTGTACACCTCTCCAGGGACCTTCCGCCCTCATGAGGGTTGAAGCTTTGATTTGTAGTTGGACACGCGTGTTCCCTCTGGCGTGTATAGGTGGCTCACGGCTCCTCTCGCCTGCCTGCCCCTCAGTAGCTCGGCACGGAAGTGCTGCGGAGCTCTCTTCCTCTCTGCACACCCCCACCCTGCCTTGATATTCTGACCCCGGCGCCCTCCCTCCCTGGGTATCGTCTTTCCAGCTACAGTGGTCCATTGCTGTCAGGATTTATTCTGATGATCAGAGTGCTAGGGTGTGCGCAGGAGTGTAGACACTGTGCCAGGCCTGCATGAACCTGCTTGGCCTGCACTGTGGCCTAGGGTGGATCTCCCGAGCTGGAGCCCGGCAGGCAGGCCATTGACTGCCTGCAGTTTGACTCCACCCTTGGTGCTCACATGCTGAGGAACTTGGGCAGCTCTAGGCTGGGACTGTGCCCGGGAGGGAGCTGGCAACGAAGGCCTCCTCGAGGAGGGGCGGTGCGTGACCCGTACCTCTCCCTGCAGCGGAGGACGAGGACGTGCTGGCCTTCAACCTGCAGCACCTTGCCACACTGGCCACAGCTTGGTCCCTAGTCGAGGCTGCTAGCCTGGACAACTCAGTCACTTCACTGCAGGCCCCAGCTACTGGCCCAGACCGAGGGCCCAGGCTCACCCCTAGGATGCAGATCCTGCAGCGCAAGGACACCTGGGCGCCTAAAACCAAGCCTGTAAGTGAGAACCCTGACGTGTGCGCTGCCCAGTGCCGTGACAGGTGGGAATTCCTCTGCACGCCTGGGCTGCATCCCACACCACCCCGAGGCCTGGTTACAGCGCTTAGGTTCCCGAACTCTTGCACACAGGTATGTCCCCTGAAGGCTGCCATTGACCGGCTGGATACACAGGAAGTGGAGATGCGCATGCAGCTGGCAGAGCTGCAGAGGCGCTACAAGGAGAAGCAGAGGGAGCTGGTGCGCCTGCAGCGCAGGCATGACCATGAGTAAGACTGTTGAACGGGGACGGCCCCTGATCCCCACCAGCCCGGCATGTGGGGAGGCACTGCAGGACAGTTCCTTCCTGGCCTTGTTTGCCACCTTGTGGGCAGAGGCTGTGCTGGAACAGCCTGGAGACTGTGTGTGGTGTGCATGGTGCCCGTGAGACCTAGGCCGCCAAGCACAGGGGCAAAGTATGGGCAGAAGAACAGTCATTCAGCAGAGGGCGGCCTGTCCACCAGATGGTAGAGCAAGGGCCATGGTGGCCGAAGGGGTGTGAGAACGGGGAACCTATGGAGGAGCTGGGACCTACTCCGGGAGCAGAAGGAATGTGCTCGGGCCATGAGGGGCAACGGGAGCCTCCTGACCAATGTGTCAGGAGATCCCAGAGTAGGGCGGGAGGGAGAGAGTGCTACCCACTTGCACAGACTCTGGGCAGCAGGGACGTAGCGGAGCCTTGCCGGCAACCTGCCACCCATTGCACCTCAGCGAGCACCCTTGCTCCCAACAATCCTCTGCTGGGCAGTGCCCTCCAGTAGGCCTGGGGGTGGAGTGTTCTGAAGTCTCTAACATACCATGCCCTCTGTGGCCCCCAGGAGAGAGGAGAGCTCACGGAGTCCTGCACGAAGGGGGCCTGGCCGGCCGAGGAAGCGCAAGCATTCGAGCTCACTGCCCACTCTGCGTCCTGGGGGCCAGCTTGCCAGGAGCGATGGCAAGAAAGTCAAGTGAGTCTGGAGCGTGGGGACAGGAGCATATGGGACAGGCCTGGGCACCATGGAGGGTCACAATTCCTCTCTGGCTTTAGGGACTGCTGGCTCCCTGCACACAGTGTCTGAAGGCCTAGTGACAAGTGTCCGGCAGACAGTGCCCCGCTGGGGACTGGCACCATCCGGCATGGCCATCAGCGCCAGCGCCCCCTCCTGGGAAGCCACAGCCTAGGCTTGGCTGCACCAGCTTTGGGGACCTGGCTGTGGCTTTACCCCACCAGAGTCACCAGGCAGCCCTGGCCCCTCGCATGCGAGGCGCGGCGCGGCGAGGCGGCGTTGCGTAAAAGGCTCTTTATCTGCACTGTATAAAGTCGTTGGTCACGCCGCGCTGCTGCTCACGGCTGCCGCGCGCGATGTTATTATCCATTACCCGCCCGGCGCAGTCGTTGGCGCACTCCCGGGCCGGGTATAATTGTCCTTCTCGGCTACAAATTGCCTCTCCCGGCAGGCCCATTTGCATAAATCCTCTGAGCTCCTCCAAACACGATTGGCGCGCACGCGTGTGCACTGCATCAATCCTGATGATTTGGTAATAATAGTTAAATCGGCACTAAATGGTTCCTTCAATTAAGACAGAGGCAAAAAATTAATCTCGGGGCTTTATGTCACAAAACATTAGCAAATGCAGAGAAGGTTACCGGGCGGGGGAGTTTGTGTGGGCTGCAGGCAGTGGAGAGGAGAGGATTCACCATATGGCTGGGGGCCTCACTGAGATGTCCCGTTGCCCTTCCCAGGTGTATCACCCAGCAGGGACCTCAAGGGCCTTCCTTTGAGAACCAGTCTGCAGCCTGGGGGCTGCTGGTCAGGATAGGGCCACTGGAGATTGCGGTTCAGTGGAGGGCGTTGGGGAATCTGCTAGAGAGCGTTGCTATACCCCCAAACCCTGCCCTCTCTGACCCTGGCCAGCTCTGGCCACATTGTCCATGCTGGACTCTATCCAACGTTCCAACAAGTAAGCCTAACCTGTGGCCACCTTGCATCCAAGTTCTCCCCCTATGACCCACAGAAGCCGGTAGCCTTAGTCTGGGAAGGATCCACAGCCAGGGGCCCTCTCTTTCCAAAGAGCGTGTTTCCTGGAGGTCTCCCCACTCCAGCTCCTGTCTGGACTCTCAAACAGTGTTCCAGAACCCGGTGGGGGCTTGGGCCCCAGGGCCAGGCCTCCTCCGTGCAGGAAGTGAGAGGCCAGCAAGGCCTCAGGAAGCTGGGGTCAAGGAGGCTCCCAGAGCTGCAGGGGCTTCCTGCCTAGCCTCCCCTGCCTTCAGAGGTCCAGCCTACTTGCTGCACAGGAAGGTGGGGAGTGGTATGTGGCCATACAAGGTCAGGGCCGGGCCAGGCCCTCAGTCCTCATCAGTAGCCGGCTCCCTTCTGTACACTGCGAAGGGCTAAGGGGTTGACAGCCCCAGCCCCTGCCCAGCCGTGGACAGACAGCAGGAAAGGGGCACTGGGAAGGAAATGAAATCACGCACAGAGGGATGTCTGGTAGACTTAAGCCGACCGACGTGACGAGAATAGAGGGGTGCTGTCTCCTCGGTAGCTGTTTGGCCCTTTTGACCTAACTGCCAGCCTAGAGGAGGTAGCTCACCATGGGACATGGGGACATGAAAGCTGGAGTTGGGGGGAGGGCCCCAGGGCCCACAGGAGCGTCAGCAGGAGGAAGGGACTGACTGGGAAGCTCAGTACTGGCCAACAGCCCCAAGAAAATTGGGCCAATTCCCCTGGTCCCGTCAGGAAAATGGACACTGAGGTGCAGGCTTCCTTCATAGGACCCTAAGTCAAGGACCTGGCCCCCAGCAAGCCCTCCGAGGTCTAGGAGTAGCTGCCCTTCTCTGCCTATTGTATTTACCCTGCCCCTGTTGGGAGTGGATCCATTTATGTCCCTTTTTGGCTGACTCACTTCGTCCTCATAAGCACTGGTATTACAGGTGTGCGTCACCACGTGTCCATATCCCGAGCGCCAAACCCAGGCTTGAGCGATTCCCTACCCCAGCTCCGCAGACAAGAGCTAATATCACTCTCCCATATTCCAGGTGGAAAGTGGGGCCCCAGACACGAATCGCTGGGGTTAGATAGCGGCTCAGCCCGGGCTCACAAGTACTGGGATAAATCCTGGGCACCTGTGGTGGTATTTTGTTTGTGAGCTAACAAACAAATCTTGCCTGAAGACCAGAGTGCAGAGATAGCCACTAGTTAACCACAGAGGCAGGTGGATCTCTATGAGTTCAAGGCCACCCTGGGCTACACAACATTGATCCAGTCTAAAAGAGGAACAGAGCCAGGCGGTGGTGGGTGACACCTTGGGAGTCACGCGCCTTTAATTCCAGCACTAGGGAATTGGAGACAGGAGGGATGTGGTCTGGTGGAGAGAGGGATGTAAGGGAGCAGAGACAGGAGCTCATGGCATTTAGTCTGAGGTTTCCATGGAGATAGCATTCAGTCTGAGGATGACACAGGATCTCGCCCCCTTGGGTCTGAGGATTCAGTAGAGGCAAGAGGTCTCTCGTGTGGCTCCTTTGCTTCTCTGACCTTCCAGCATTTACCCCGGCATCTGACTCTGGGTTTTTATTACCAAGACCTGGTAGCATTCACTCTGCAGGGACCCAGCGCCTTCACCGGTCCCCAAATCCCTCTGCCTGGGCCTTGGGTCATTGGCGTATGATTGGACACCCCAAGGGCATCCCACCCCAGCATGGGGAAGGGTGAGCAGGGAGGGAAAGATCCTGTTTCCAGCACAGCCTTGCCCCAAGGCCCACCAGGAGCTGGTAGTGGGCAGGCAGAAGGGGTTGACTGGGGAGCTCAGTACTGGCTGGACGCCTCCAGAGCCTGCTTGTAGCAAGGGAGACAGGAGACTGTGTCCTGCACATGGGCTGCCCCCGGGACACATCACAGGGACTGTACCCATCACTGTCCATCCCCGGCAGGGCTGTCCGTGCTAGCCTAAGTTTGCTGTGTGCTGAGCTACGAGGGGACGAGCCCACAAGGAAGAGAAGCAAACTGGAAAAGAGGACCTACCCAGGCCTGCAGACGGCCTCCTCCGTGAGTCTCTGGGCCCCCGCCCTCACCCCCGGTGGGCACCCAGGCAAACCAGCCAGGGCTTGGTGAGCTGCTGATGCCTTGATTAAAGGAAGTGAGGCCACAGATATGCAGGTGGAGGCAGTAGCCAGTGGGGACAACAGCTTTCCCTGTGTGGCTTGCCATTGGTTCCCTGAGCAACCCCTCCCCGAACTCCAGTGGAGTAAAATGCATGAGTAAACCAAAGATGGAAATCCATAGCCGAGCGCCTGGCTCTCAACACCAGGGCTACAGCACCGGGTGGCATCCTGGGCCTCTCTACGTCTCTCACTCTCCAAGGCCTGTTGTTACCTAGTCTGTTACCCCCCCCCCCACCTCAGAAGGCTGGCTGCTCGCTTGTTTTTGGCATGGCGTTGGTGGTGGTGATGGCGGTTTTATCCTCCATACCCGTTGGCCAGAGTCTATAACTTGCTCTGTAGATCAGGCTGTTCTCAAACTTGAAGCCGTCCTTCATCTCTGTCTCCTAAGTGCTGTAGGCATTGGGCAGGATGCTGGCTGGCCGTCCTGCCTAAGGAACTCTTTCCTTTTTACGAAAAGCGAACAGCATGTACCCAAGATACACAGGAGCCCTTCCCTGTTCTACATTCCAAAGCTAAATGGGGAGGGGGTAGGTAGATGGGCATGGTATTTGCCTTGGGAGGCAGCCCTGTGCCCCAGGCCAGGTGTCCTCAAGGCCCTTTTTCAGGGAAAGTCCCTGGGGACAATGTTTTCCGGGCCCCACGGTGATGGCCAGGGGCCGTGGCTGTGGCCCTGCCTGAGTGTGTGAGTGTGTGGTTTCACCGCCTGTTCACAGGAGAAGGCTCGGTGCAAGAAGGGCTGTGGCCAGGCCGAGCTGCCACCGTCAGTGACCCACAAGGTGACCCAGCTGAAGCCAAGAGTCAAGAGCAAGGGGCTGCCCGCCGGCCTGAGTGCCTTCCAGCGCAAAGAGGCTGCCCCAGGTGGGCGCATCCGGAAGAAGCTCTCTAGAGCCAAGAGTGTCAAGGGGTCAGGGCCAACACCGCATCCACACCCCGATGGGGACGGTGGCAGGGAAATGCCCAAGTTCCCAGCCCAGCCAGCAGTGGCTGTGGCACATGAGGCAGGCAAGTTGGTGGTGTGAGTGACTGAAGCCTGGGCCTTGGTCACCTGGGGGCTGAAGGAGGGGTACTCAGGGGTCATGGCTACCACAGCTCCAGGGACAGCCTCGTGTTGAGAAAGGCTGGGGAAGGAGCCTTTGTCTCCAGGCCAGGGCTTCAGTAGTTCGCTGCCCAGGACAACAAGAAGCCCTGGACACGCCCTGGAAACGCGTTAAAAATAGCCTCCCCCACCTCTGCCCTCAGCATCCGGCGAGTTGGTGGGGTATCTCCTCTTCCTTCCCCAGCAGACAAATCCAGAGACAGCCTGGAAAAATAGACGCTTCCTCCCTCCCAGCTCCTCCAGGGCCGGAGTCTGAGAGGGGACAAAGGGAAGTCACTGCTTTGGGGGCAGGAAGCAAGGGGCCAGCTGGGCCAGCGGATACAGAAAGGGAGGGAGACTCCCCAGAGAGGAGCTAGTTCTGCAAGGTGGGGGCTGCAAGGAAGAAAACCCGGTGGTTCCCTTCCCCCGCCGGACACTGTCAGGGTGGGGTCGGTACCCCAGGTTCCTGCCCCCACCCCCCAGCAGCCCAGAGAATGCTGAGTCGTCACGGGCCATACTCCCTAGGGCCACCCAATCACCAAGGCCTCTCTGCTGCTGTCCCCCAGGAAGCGGCTATGACAGTGAAGACTGCCAGGCATTCCTGGGGACAGAGGCTGCTCCCAGGGAGCCTGGGCTGGTGCTGCACCCAGGGGCCAGTATGGCAGTCCTGGGGCCTTCACCTTCCTCCGTGGTCAAGATGGAAGCCAACCAAAAGGCCAAGAAGAAAAAGGAGAGGCAGGGTTTGCTAGGTAACCAAGAACCCTGAGCAGACTGGGAATTAGGGGTCCATAGACTAGGGTCCTGATGACTACTTCCCTCCCTCCACAGGGGCCTGCCGCCTATCGAGCCCTGAGGGCGAGGTTAAGATCAAGAGGCGAGCAGTGAAGAGCAAGGCGGGCCCCAAGCTGGAGCGGGCACCAGGGCGGCGGCCCCCAGGTGCCCCGGGCAAGAAGAAAGCCAAGGGCAAGGTAAAAAGTGGCCTTTGTGCAGAGCCTGGGGCTGCCACCAGCAGGGATACGCTTTTCAGTCCCACTCGGACCTTCGCCTGCCGAGAGGAGGGCGGCCAACTTGCCAGTGAGCGCCTCAAGAGAGCCACGCGCAAGAGCGCCATGTTGCAGCCAGTACTGAGGGTAAGCCAGCAGGGGCAAGCAGGCAGGCGTCAGGGTGGTCATCGGGCACTCAGAGGAGTGCAGCCTCCTGCCTTCCCCACTCACTCACTCACTCACCCCCAACCCTGGGTCACGGCCCATGCTGGCCCGACAAGTCATTCTGGTCCTCATGGCTGCCCTTTCTTGAACAGCGTAAGAACGGGGCCTTGTCCATCGCCCTGTCCGCCCGCAACGCCAAGGCCGTCCTGGGAAAGAGCAGGAAGCTGACGAAGGTGAAGAGAGAGACTGTCGGCAAGCAGGTAGCAGCCCTCCCAGGCTGGGGACCCGGGGGGGGGGGGCAGCCCCTCCCAGCCTCCTCCCCTGACCCCTGTGTGACCCACCCAGGGCCAGGGCCGAGCTATGAGCCGGCTGCTGGAGAGCTTCGCTGTTGAAGATGACTTTGAGTTTGACGACGACAGCAGCTTCTCGGATGAGGAGGAGGAAGAGGAAGCAGAGGAGGCCAGTGTCCAGCTAAGTGCAGAGCAGAGTGCCGCCCTGGGTAAGCAGGCTAAAGAGGCGCCAGCTGCCTGGGGGAGGGGATGGGGGGGGGCCCTGGCCCAGCTCTGATGTCTTCCCCTGTAGCTCGGTCCTGCATCATCCACAAGGAGGACCTGCAGGATGGACTGCCTGTGCTGATCCCCAAGGAGGACAGTCTGCTGTATGCGGGCAGCGTCAGGACCCTGCAGCCCCCCGACATGTGAGGCCCAGACCTGGGTGGGAGGAGCGCATGCTGGGTATGACCTGTCTGGAAGCGAGACTCCTGCAGGAGCCTCACGTGCCCCCTACGTTGCCCTCAGTTACAGCATCATCATTGAGGGTGAGAGAGGTAACCGGCCGCGCATCTATTCGCTGGAGCAGCTGCTGCAAGAGGCGGTAAGGATGGCGCCTGCCTTGGGAAGCAAGCCTGGGGCTTTCCCCACCACCAGGAGGACCTTGGCCTGGCCCCACAGTGAGGGAGCGCTGTGGCCAGACCCTGCTGTTCACAGGCCACTACTACTCCATGGTTCCTTGCAGGTTCTTGATGTCCGGCCGCAGTCCAGTCGGTACCTTCCACCTGGCACCCGGGTGTGCGCATACTGGAGTCAGAAGTCTCGGTGCCTGTATCCAGGCAACGTGGTTCGAGGTAAGCACAGCCAAGGCCAGGACTAGGGCCAAGGCCCCTCTGTGACCTTTAGAGCTCCAGAGAGGGAACCCCCTTGTCCACAGGCCAGCTGGGGGGTTGCAGCAAGGCAGGCTTGGGTCAGACCTAAGTAGACGGTAAGATCAATCCAGCAGTAGCCATGAGAAAGTGAGAGGGTGAGGGATGACTCTTACATCCAGCCAATCAGAGCAGGCGAAGCAGGCCCAGGATCCCAGATCTATCATGTGTGCATCCCAGCCCACCCGGGCAATACAGGACATGTAGGTCCCTCGGAGCAGGAAGACTCGTGGTCTAAACGGGCAAGAGTCCACTGGACACTCGTGCGGAGAGGGAGATGTCTTTGTCTCCTGGCATGCTGGCTCAGCACCTCTGCTGTCCTCTCGCCCTCCCCTGCCTTCTGGCTGTGCGGGCTGGCCACATGCTCAGGGCACGTCCCTCTGCAGGTGCTTCAGGTGACGAAGAAGACGACCTGGATTCTGTGGTGGTGGAGTTTGACGACGGAGACACGGGCCACATCGCTGTCTCTAACATCAGGTTGCTGCCTCCAGACTTCAAGATCCAGTGTGAGCATCTGCCCGCCGGCGGGTGGGCGGGGCAGCTCCCTACCTGGGTGTCAGTGTTGCCAGTGTTCCACAAAGGGCGGCAGTCAACCACCAACGGGCCTGTAATGAGCCCCTCTGTCCACTGCTCAGGTACAGAGCCCTCTCCAGCCCTGCTGGTGTCCAGCAGCTGCCGGAGGACCAAAAAGGCACCCAGTGAGGCCCCCCAACCCAGTGACGCGCCTTCTCCCAGCCTGTCCCCTAAAGTGCAGGATGGCCCTGAACCTTCCAAGACCCCAGGGAAGAAATCCATCAGCAAAGACAAAGCTGGTATTTGCACAGCTGTTGAGAATTGGGAATGGAGGGTCCCTGGGGAGGCGCATGGGGCTCCGGTGGGTCCGGGAGGGGTGAGTGGACACAGCTGACTCTACCTGGCTTCCTCCCCCCCCCCAGGCAAAGTCGACCTCCTAACCTCAGGTGCCAAGTCCCCCACGGGGGCCTCAGACCACTTCCTAGGCCGCAGGGGCAGCCCCCTGCTGAGCTGGTCAGCAATGGCCCAGACCAAGCGGAAAGCGGTGGCTGCGGCCGCGGCAGGTGGCAAAGGGCCGGGGATGCTGCAGAACCTCTTTCAGCTCAACGGAAGCAAGAAGCTGCGGGCCCGGGAGACCCTGTTTCCCATGCACAGCATGGCTGCCCCTGTGTTTGGTAACAGCTTCCGTGCGGACTCCTTCAGCAGCCTGGCCAGTTCCTACACGCCCTTTGTTGGAGGGGCCGGGGCAGGCCTGCCGGGGGGAGCCCACAAGCTGCTTCGGGCCAAGAAAGTCGAGCGTGCTGAAGCAGAAAAGGCGGGCAGGCGGCGGGCAGGCGGCGAGTTCCTGGTTAAGCTGGACCATGAGGGTGTGACCTCTCCCAAAAACAAAAACTGCAAGGCTCTGCTCATGGGCGACAAGGACTTTGGACCCAAGCTAGGGAGGCCTCTAGTGAGCCCCAGTTACGCACACCCAGCCCTCATGGGCAAGGACAAGAAGGGGCGGGCACCCATGCATCCACTTCCCATGGGCCTGGCTCTGCGCAAGTACCCACTGCCCTGTGACAGCGACTGCCCCAGCTCCTACTCCGATGAGGACGAAGATGGGCCAGGGCTGGCCACTGGCGTGCCCTCCCGCTTTCTCACCCGCCTCTCCATGTCTTCGTCGTCCTCTGGATCGTCCACGTCCTCTTCCTCGGGCTCCATGTCCACCTCCAGCCTCTGCTCCTCGGATAACGAGGACTCCTCTTACAGCTCCGATGATGAGGACCCTGCTCTGCTGCTGCAGACCTGTCTTACCCGCCCTGTACCCGCCCTCCTGGCCCCACCCGAAGCCCTTCGCACCAAGGGTAGCAGCCCCCACGCCCACGCCCAGCGCTGCTTCCTGTCCAGGGCCGGAGTGGGTGGTGCAGGTGCAGCTGCAGGTGCTAGTCCCAGTGGCGGCAAGTCCAAGTTCAAGCGCAAGGAGGCCCTGAGCTTCTCCAAAGCCAAAGAGCTTTCTCGGAGGCAACGGCTGCCCTCCGTGGAAAACCGGCCAAAGATCTCAGCCTTCCTGCCTGCCCGGCAGCTCTGGAAGTGGTCGGGGAACCCCACACAGGTAGGTGGCCTGTCTCCCTGATGCAGAGAGCATAATGTCAACGGAGAAATGGGCCTGCTCCTGCTCCCTCAGACCCCAAACACCTCTTCTGTGGGCATTCTTCACTTTCAAATAAACGATTCAGGGACCAGAGAGGGACGGCTCAGTGGCTAAGAGCACACGCCGCCACCGCTCCGGTTCGCAGTACTCAACGTAGGGCGGCTACCGACTGCCTGTAGGTCCACTTACAGGGGGAATCTCAAACCATTTGGAAACCCCCAGGCCCCAACAGAAACCCACCAGTAATCTAATGAGACCAGTGACCAGCTGTGGTTTGCACGTGCGAGCCATTGCCTTGCCAGTGTGATCACACACGTGACCCACATAGCGGGAGTGTGCGGTGTGCAGGCTCCCGTGCGGTATGCCACCTGAGAAGCCTTGCCTGCTGCTTAGACAGCCAGCTTTGCAAGGCCACAGCACAGCATACTACTGCAGGGGCTTACACATGGCTTCCTTTATCGGTGTCTTCCGTAGTGGACCTGCGCTTGTGTGTAGGCTTTCTATTTGTGTTGTTTTATTGTTTGTAGCAGCAGGGTCATGCTGTGTAGCCCTGACTGGCCTGCGACTTGATATGTAGACCAGGCTGGCCTGGGACTCAGAGATCCATCTGCCTCTGCGCCCTGAATGCTGGGATTAAAGACACAGTCTACCAACTTGCTCAGCTCTCCCCGGGGGTTGTTTTCTCTCCCTTGTAAACCAAACCGCAGTAAACATCTTGTGTGTGTCTGCCCTCAGATCCCGTGTGCCTTTGGAATCTGTTATAGACTTTCTGTCGTGACTAATATGCAGAGAGAGAGAGAGAGGGTCCAGTGTAGCCCACCTCATAAGGAGCCTATGCAGTGGAGCTCTCTGTCCATTGTGTGGCCACTTTCTGCCCTTGCAGACACATACCGAGACACACCATCTGTCCCTTCAGCATGCTCTCTGTTACCCTAGCCCACCACCTTTCCCTTACTTTCCTGGATCCCTCCTCACCGCTGTGTATCTGCTGGTTTTCCCTGCAGAGGCGAGGCATGAAGGGGAAAGCCAGGAAACTGTTCTACAAGGCCATCGTCAGAGGCGAGGAGACACTGCGCATTGGGGACTGTGCAGTCTTCCTGTCCGCTGGACGACCCAACCTGCCCTATATTGGTCGCATCGAGAGCTTGTGGGAGTCGTGGGGTAGCAACATGGTGGTGAAGGTCAAATGGTTCTACCACCCCGAGGAGACCAAGCTGGGGAAGCGGCAGAGTGATGGGAAGGTGAGGGCGTGGGCAGGCGCGGGGGGGGGGGTCAGCCTCTACACAGGGTCTTTGGGCAAATGGGAGGTTAACGGTGAGATCGGCAGCCAGTATTAATTAACCTTGTCCTGGTGACCCCTTCCCAAGCCCAAGATCTTCCCCGGGTGTGTATTTGGGGGTGGCCGTCCAGCTGAGATCTTCCCCGGGTGTGTTTGGGGGTGGCCGTCCAGCTGAGATCTTCCCCGGGTGTGTTTGGGGGTGGCCGTCCAGCTGAGATCTTCCCCGGGTGTGTATTTGGGGGTGACCGTCCAGCTGAGATCTTCCCCGGGTGTGTATTTGGGGGTGACCGTCCAGCTGAGATCTTCCCCGGGTGTGTTTGGGGGTGGCCGTCCAGCTGAGATCTTCCCCGGGTGTGTATTTGGGGGTGACCGTCCAGCTGAGATCTTCCCCGGGTGTGTATTTGGGGGTGACCGTCCAGCTGAGATCTTCCCCGGGTGTGTATTTGGGGGTGACCGTCCAGCTGAGATCTTCCCCGGGTGTGTGTTTGGGGGTGGCCGTCCAGCTGAGATCTTCCCCGGGTGTGTTTGGGGGTGGCCTCCAGCTGAGACCATCCCAACGCTGTACCCTTACCCGGCAGAACGCACTATACCAGTCTTGCCATGAGGATGAGAACGACGTGCAGACCATCTCCCACAAGTGCCAGGTGCTGGGGCGAGAGCAGTATGAGCAGATGATGCGGGGCCGCAAGTACCAGGACCAGCAGGACCTCTATTACTTGGCGGGCACCTACGATCCCACCACTGGACGCCTGGTGACAGCTGACGGTGTGCCCATCCTGTGCTGAGCTGCCTCTGCCCACCCTCACCCATGGCTGCAGCCAAGAGGTCAGCTAGCCAGGAACTGGTCTGAGCAAATATGCAATCCCCCCCCACGGCGGGATCAGGCTTCTCCTCCTCGAAGTTCTCTGGACAGAGCTCCTAGGCTGGACCCCAGTCCCATCCTAGCTGCTCCAGAGGGAGGGCTGGCTGGTCCCTCAGGGACTGGCTGCTCTGCCGATGCACCACAGTTCTCGAGAGATTAGAATCCAAGCCATATTTCCCTAGTACCTCCGACTGTCTCCCACCAGGGAAAGCAGAAATCAGGTGTGTTATCTATTTATTTCTCTATGTAAATATTGTATTTCTGTGGGGAAGTTTTATGGGGGGAAAAATGGAAAAGGATTTTTCCCCACTTTCGTGACAAGGGTGTGTGTGTGCGTGCGCGCGTGTGTGTGCGTGTGTACAAATGCACACGTGCATTGTGTGTGTGTGTGTGAGTGTGTGTGTGGTTTTGTCCTGGGGTTTTCTTTGGAAATGCACTGTTCTCGCCTAGTTGGATTCCAACAGGGGCATCTGTGACTGCAGAGGTTGCTGGAATGAGGGCAAGGCCAAAGGCCGTGGGATGGTCACATGAGACCCCAGTCACACCCTCCTGTCCTTTGGGGTCCAGCTGTGTGAAGGAAATGGCACTGCAGTGTATTTCCTTCCAGTACACCCCATACAGAAAAGTATTGGGGTGGGGGCAGTGGTGGTGGCCCTGGGAGGAAAGGGTTCCGGCCACAAGGCGACAACAGCCAGGATCGGTCTGCCCCGCTCTGCAGCCCAGGAGTATGGCAGCAGGGCCATATATATATCTTACCTCTGTTTGAAACAAAACAAACGAACAAATATTTTGAAGTATCAATAAGAAAAATGGATGTTTAGACTTCCTTTCCTGAATATCTCAAGTTATTTCTGGTTTCCGTTTCCACAGCCAGCTTGTTGCAGGGAGCGAAGCCTGGCCTCACCCAAGCAGGGTGTAGTTGGCCCCTTGCCCCCTCCATCCCTACCCTTGTCCTCCAGGACACCGGTTGCCTCCTCCCAAGAGCAGCAGGGTTTCCACAATGGTGCAGCTGGCCCAGGTCACTTCTGGGCCAGAATTTGGGGCCCCCCTGGGGTTGGTCCACCCTTCTACATGAGTACCCCCTCATCAGTAAGACTCTCCTTTTCCCACCAGACCCTTTCCCTGGAGCCCACCACCTCTGGCTGACCTCAAGTGATGAGGCTGGGCCGGAGGTGCTGGAGTCAAAAAGAATAGCAGAATGGCAAGGTGCCGCTCACCCAAGGGGACAGGCAGGTCCGTCTGGCCCCCTGTCTCTCAACCCAGACCCTGGTCCTGAGGCCCCTTTGTCCATCCCATCCCATGACAGTTTCTGGATCTTTTTTAGAGCTACTCAGCAGGGCACATAGCATGGCAGGCTCATGCATGGAGTATATAACGGGTCCTTTCTGGCCTCTTGCACCCAAACCCTGGCCCCACGTACGAGGGAAGCCCAGCAGCCCTTCTCCCATGATGGAAAGAGCAGGCTAGACCCATGGACCGAAGGCCTTTGTCCTCAAAAATGCCTGTGGCACACACGCTCCCCATTGTTCCCCCAGGCGGAGGCTTCCTAAGAGGCAAGGAGTACTGGGTGCCCAGCCATCTCCCTTTGCTCGGGCCCACCAGGAGTCTGTGCCAATTCCAGTGAACATTTCTCTCCCTAGTTGCTCAAAGGGCCCCTGTGGTGGCCTAGGATAACCAAGGGTACCCCATTCCCGGCTGCCCCGTCACCCCGAGGCTTTTTCTGTTCTCCACACGAGTGCAATATTTCATTCCTGGAGGTCATCGGAAACGATGGCCACCAAGGTCCCGCTCACAGCTAGGGAGTCAGAGTTGATGGTGAATGAAGAGACCAGCGCCAGGGATGGTGCTAGAATTCGCTGCTCAGAACCCCCAGTATCCAGGGGCACCGGAGCAAGCAGAAAGGCTGTTCTGTTGGCCGCCTTCTGGATGTTTCTTTCTCCCTCTGCTGAGCTGTCCCCTCTGTCTTTATCTCTCCCCTCTCCTTTCTGTGTGCACACGTGAATGGCGTGACCCCCTCCTCCCCAGCTGTGGCTAACCGTGGTGAAAGCAGGATTCTTGTAAATGTGTAAACTAAGAGGCAGGTTGGATTTTTGTTTTCAATGTAAACACTAAATACAAAACAAACAAAAACACAAAGGTTTTATGAACAGCAAACTCTATGTAAAGGCATTTTAGTATTAAATTTTTTATTGATAACTTGCTTAAGAATAAATATATGAACTATTGTACAGGTGCTCGGTAGTCCGGATTGTGACTGTGCCTGCCTCCTGAGTGTGTGTCACCTGTCATTCCTGTCTGGGCTGGGGGAACACTGACTGGGATGAGTTTAGGTGACCTTAGGCTTAGAGACGCCACCCTACCCCACCCTAGATCACTGGCCCCTTCTTGATCTTAGGCAGGTGTGAATGACTGGTAAGTTGGTCGCCTGTCCAGCTTGAACCAGTTCAGACAGCCATGGTGGTGCCCACAGAGCATGGGGGTGAGGGGGAGGGTGGCCCCAAACACTCATCCACCGTGAGCAGTGGTGAGGGTCTGAATGGATTTGTTCAACAAAAGTTTTTCTGCCAGTCAGCTCTGCTCAGAATAATAAATAATGGTCCTGTTGGCCACGACAGCTCACACCTGTAATCTCAGGCAGATGGGCCTCTGAATTTGAAGATGGCTTGGTCCTCATAGCAAGTTCAGGGCCAGCCAGGATTACATCGCAAGACTTGATGTCAGGGTGTGTGTGTGTGTGTGTGTGTGTGTGTGTGTGTGTGTGTGTGTAAAGTTCTAATCCTTAGGCAGAGGACTGATTGTAAGTCAAGCACAGACCTAAAGTGGGAAGAAAGGAACATGTGTGCCCTAGTCAAGAGGCTGCAGACCCGAACAAAGCCCAAGATAGCCCTGACTGGCGGTAATTCACTACTGATACTCTGAGATATCACCCCAGGGTAGGGCAGGTGTGCAACAGCAAGGTTGGTTCTGGGAGTGGGGCTGGGTCCTTAGCTTCCCTCTGGTTTTGCATAGACACCAGCCCTGCCTGGCTGATAAGTATTCTCCCCACTGTGGCCTTCCTGCCTGCCACTGAACTCCTTTGGTTAGAGATGCTTCTCTGTGGAAGCGAGTTAAGGTCTGATGCCTGCATGGTCCAGCAGGTACCTGCTCTAAGGACTGCCACCAAGTTCTCCCTTCAGCCCATTCCAAGTCCCACCAAGGGCTGACAGATAAAGGCTGTAGAATCCAGGGCTCAGGATGCTAGTGGATAGTCAGCCCTGTGTGGGTCTGTAGACTCAGCCCTGAGGTCATGACTTTGGGGACAGGTAACCTGTCATTCCTAGCTGCCCGGTGGGGCCTGAGACAAAGTGAAGGTTGGATCTGAGGTGTAGGTGCACTGCACTGGGCTTCTGGCTCAGGGACCTTCTGTGGACTTGAGAAGTCCAACTGCAGGAACTTGAGATCTCGCAGGGCTAGGCCTCAACATGGCTCCTGGAGCCCGACAGAATTTTTAACCATGTTGGTGTCTGCCCACTAGAGCCTATGTTGACGGTGGAATGTTTACCTAGTATGTGCAATGTCTTGGGTTTAATCCCAGTAACACTGACACACACACACACACAGAGAGAGAGAGAGAGAGAGAGAGAGAGAGAGAGAGAGAGAGAGAGAGGAAGAAAGAGAGAGAGTGCATAAAAAGCTTGCTTTGCTCAGGAGGTCATGCAAGGAAATATGTAGGGCCAGAGCCTGGAGGATGTCAGTGACATGTGCCGTGGAGCCTGGCAAGGACCCGGCTGCAGGCCTTGGACTTCTCTGTACTGCAGCCAGCATGCTGAGTGGTAAGCAGGGCAGGGAGCAGCTGGACAGCAGCCACCAAGACCCCAGGCAGGCAGGAGAGACTGGTGTCCAGCATCTGCCCTGGGGCCAGGTGGCCACGCCAACCCCTTCACGGCACCAAAAGGCTGGTGGGCGGGCCCTGCCATTTCCAGCCCAGAACAGTACTGGGCTTGCACAAGGCTCTAGAACAAATGGGGAGTCAGGATAGGTGAAGAAGCAGCTCTGGCCATCCCTGAGCTGATCTGGGCAGCTTCCTAGAGAAGGGGGCGCCAGGGAGGGCAGGGCAAGTAGAGCCAAGACGGTGGCCAGAAGATGGGGGTTCTGGAGCCGGAGGGCGGCAGAGGCTAAAGGACAGGCGCCCTTAGCAGAATGGGACTTGTAATTACCTGCTAGCAAGCAGATGACCCCAAGAGCACAGACAGATGCCTCCCTTGGTGGCCTTGGGTCAGTCGGGGTTAAAGGGGCCGGTCTGGTCCAGACTCCAGGAGAGATTCTGCACCAAGACAAAGGCCCTGGTATAGGGGAGCTGGGGGAAAGACTGGGGCGAGCCCCAGGCAGGCTTGAGTCAGTGCCCTGTTTCCAGACATCCCCATAGGAGCACCAAGAGAGACTGTGGTACACGGTTGGGCCAGAGCAGGCCCCCAGTCCGGCTTCCCACGTCCAGGCTCCCTCTGCTCCTCCCTCCTCCAGCCTTGCCTCGCACACTGTGGTCCTGACATTCCGGAACCGCTGCCCTCCGAATGGGGCCTGTCCAAGGGCAGGGTGGACACGGGAGGACACAGGCTGTGGCGCCCTGGGGGTTAAACATGCAAGGCTACACTTTGATCAAGACAAACGAGCCATTATGTGAAATGCTGAAGCAAGATAAATGATGGCACTGGGTGAGGGAGATCAATAAAAGTGATGTTTTATCAGGTAGACATGACAACCTGGCTGATGGCAATTCGTTTTTAATACTACAAACCAATTGGAGACGAGGGGGCTTTAATTGCCGGGCCCCGGCCCTGGCAAGGTTGCTGGGGGTTGCTGGGGCATCGAAACTACTTTGGGCCGCCACGGGAGCCTTCACCAGCACTCAACTCTGAGGGGTGCTGGTGAGTCCCTGGGATCACAACCCTGCCTGAGCATCCCGCCAGAGACAGGTAAGGAGGGGCTGCCTTGGCCATGTGTGGACTAAGGAAGCCGAAATAACAGGCCAGTGGTTCTCCTGCACTTAGCGCTATCCTGCAGCCAAGCTTGCGCCAGGGCGCCAGGGATGCTCTTGTCTCCCCTCTGCTGTCCCCTCACCTCCCAGAGACCTGGCCTGACACTTCTGAGCCACTCCTGGACACCACACACCCCTTGGGTCTGCACTGGCCACCTGCTCAAAACGGCAAGAGCAGTGAGCAACACACACACACACCTACACACCACACACACACATACACACACACACCACACATACACACACACCACACATACACACACACATACCACACATACACACACACCACACATACACACACACCACAACACCACACACACCACACACACACACACCACACACACACACATACACACACACCACACATACACACACACCACACACACACATACACACACACCACACATACACACACCACACATACACACACACACACCACACACACACACCACACATACACACCACACACACACCACACACACCACACATACACACCACACACACACCACACACACACCACATATACACATACCACACACACACCACATACACACACCATACACCCCACATACACACACATACCACACACCTCACATACACACACCCCACATACACACACACCGCACACACACACACACACACACACACGAGGCGGATACATCCAGTCATCACTCTGTCCCCCAAGCACCAGACTGTAGCTGACAGGGCCCAGAGGCCATGACCCAGCCCTCCAGCCTGCTCTGGAGAGAGGCGGGTAAGGCCAGCAAGTGAGATAGGGAGCCCAGGACCTGCAACAGCTGTTGTCTGATTTTCCTCTCCATCACCTAAGAGTCTTCACCTGTTCTCACAGGCCGTGTACCCAATCCAATCCGCTGTAAGACTGGGTTGAGGGTTGTAGGAGACAGTCAAGGATTTTGGGGCCCCCAAGGACTCCGCTCCCATCTAGGAAAAACACCTTTATATTCCCAGGTTCAGTTTCGACTCCTGGTGGGATTCAGACAAGGAGACGTAACAAGGCCTCAGTTGGACAACTGGACACAGGGAAAGTAGGTTTCCACTTGCTGTCAGGAGATGTGACCCCAGCTTGCCTCTCCCCGGAAGCTCCTTGGGGACCAGGTGGCAGTGGGTGTAGCCCTGCGTGGCTTCCGTTGCATTCACTCATCTATTCAGAAAGCTACACTAAATGTAAAGGTGTCATCTCCCTGCTGTGCCCGCCTGGTAGATCTGATATGCGCCTCTCTCTCCACACTTGTGGGCGAGCCCCACAGAAAACCCTGGCAGGAGCATGTAGGACCCCACAGCTGGGCAGAGCAGAAGGGCTGTTGGCAGAGCGGGGAGAGATTTCCAGGAGTAAAGAAACAGCTGGCTCCATCAACCTGTACATCTCCTTTGCCCCACAAGCCTGATCTCCTATCAGATTTATCTGAGGACCACACCCATGAAGGGGTGGAGGGGATGAGGGGGGGAGGGATGAGGGGGTGCTGTGGCCCCGTGGATAGTTCTGGAGAACACACACCATCTTCAGCAAGAGCCTGGACCAACTCTGGTGACCCGGGGCTTAGGTAGGATTCAGAGAGAGCCTGGCCCCAGGAGAGAAGTGGGGTCCAAGTGCTGGGAACCACCCTGCTGTAGGGGAGGGGCGCTGCCCTGGGAGCCCACAGTGCTTCTGCAGGCCCCGCCCCCTGTGCAGGGACTCGGGTCCACATCCCCACCTAAAGGAATGCTGGGAGCACACAGCCCATGCAGACAGAGGAACGGGTCTAACCTCCATCTTACCACTGTACATCTGGGCCGGTGTGAAAGGAAAGCTCTCTGGACACGTGTCATTTCTGCATTCTAGACACGTCTGACCTCCATACAACCCACTGGAGTCCCGAGGGCTTGGGGGGAGGGCCTTCCTGAAGCCGGAGGATCGGCAGACCGCAGCAGCACAGAGAGCAGTGTAGACCGAGGGCTCAGTACCCCACTGTGTCTCTGGCCTCCTGTGAGTGTCCAGGGGTAGAGTCTGCAGGGCCCCTCTGCAGGATGTTTTCCTATCTGTTCACTGCCCTCCCCCAGGCCGGCAGCACACACCCCCAGAATGTAAATGTGAGACCGAGAATAGCCTAGGCCTTCCGGGCCACTGCCTTCCCCTCGGCCCCTTAGCAGCAGATTCACAGCCCCGATGGCAACCTTCCAGCCCGATCCATAGCCATACTACCAAAAGAGCCCTGTGACAG